TTTCATTACATCAGATGTCTTCCTAACTGGCTTGTCTTACACTGCTCCTGTCTCATTATATCAGATGTCTTCCTAACTGGCTTGTCTTACACTGCTCTTGTTTAATTACATCAGATGTCTTCCTAACTGGCTTGTCTTACACTGCTCCTGTCTCATTATATCAGATGTCTTCCTAACTGGCTTGTCTTACACTGCTCTTGTTTAATTACATCAGATGTCTTCCTAACTGGCTTGTCTTACACTGCTCTTGTCTCATTATATCAGATGTCTTCCTAACTGGCTTGTCTTACACTGCTCTTGTTTAATTACATCAGATGTCTTCCTAACTGGTTTGTCTTACACTGCTCCTGTCTCATTATATCAGATGCCTCCCTAACTGGCTTGTCTTATACTGCTCTTGTCTCATTACGTCAGATACCTCCTTAACTGGTTTGTCTCATGCTGTTCTTATGTCACTTAACTATTAATGTAGTTTTTTAAAGAAATAGTGTATTTTAGTTTTATTAAATTTTCTTAAATACTTAACACTTCACGGCATATTATGAATGAAATGGTTTATCTTTCACGATAATATTTAAAATGAGGTATTTTTTTCTTGAAGCACTAACAAGAACTTTTAATCGCTATAACACAAACTATGAAATCGACCAGTAATGGACAGACTAACAGCAAAAAAAAAATCCTTTGGAACTTTAACTTGTGTTAGTTTTTGTCACATATTAATTTACTTCCTATTATTCTCCATTAGAGCCATTTTAGGGGATATCAAAACAACAACTTTACCATCAACAACGGCTGAATCAACCACTACAGATGTACCAACAGTGTCACTTGAACCCACTACCACGATAGTTCCTTTTAGACTGATCCTTCCTATTCTGATAAAGCTGAACCACAGCTATAATACTCTCGTGGAAGGGAGAGAAAGTGCTTTTATTGACAATATATCCAAACAATTGGCTACATATGTTGGAACGTCAACCAGAAGAATGCAAGACACAGTAGTTTGGTCAGGTAAGCGTTTAAGTAAAGTGTATCTCTGAGACTAAACACTATCTTTTAGTCCAAAATGGACCTTATGTTTAATAATCCATACCCATTTCTAAATAAAAAGACTATTCAAATAATTTGGTGAAAATGATGTTACTTTTTTCCACATTATAGTGAATTGTCTTCAGTTTTATATTTGAATTTGTATAAAAAATGTTTCTACGCCCACCTCATAGAGAAACACATAACAATTTCATAAATTCAATAAATACGATTTAGGCAAAAGAAAACAAAGATCGTATGTGCGTGTGTTTGAAGGGTTATATGGTAGTTAATTTTCAGCGTTAACAGAATGAAACAAAAAGTTGACTTACGAAAAGTGTTTGTTTGTTTTTTGTTTGTTTTTAAGTAAAGCACAAAGCTACACAATGGGCTATCTGTGCCCGGCCCGCCACGGGTAACGAAACCCGGATTCTGGCGTTGTAAGTCAGCAGACATACCGCTGTGCTACTGGGGGGCACGAAAAGTGTTTATACGGCATTGAAATATCTGATTGTTCATGAAAATAAAAGTTGCCCTGAAAAAGAAAGATTTCAGATTTAAAATCATCCAGTTTTATTCAATGACGATTGACTCTGTACAGTACGTACGTATTGTGCCTTCGTATTAAAATATAATGAATACACTGTCCGCTAGAAACCTATACATAAAAAGATAAGTCAGTGACACCAAATACGAATCAGTTTTCTGACCTCATGGATGTTTTTGTTTTGAATTTCACGCAAAG